TGATGATGATGATGATGATGATGATGATGATGATGATGATGACTGTAGTTATCCTAACGCGTTTTGCGGAGCAGGGAGTGGGGCGGGCCGCCTTTACCGTTTTGGCTCAAGGCGGAGCGGGAGGAGCGGTCCGCGGGCCGGCGGATGTGGCGCTGGTGGCTGCTGGGCGGGGCGCGCGACGTGGCCGTCGCCTACCTCCAGGGCTGCCCGCGGTGCCCGGCGGCTCCCGAGTGCCCCAAGTGCTCGCTGGTGTGCTCAGCGTGCCCTGTCTTCATGTGCCCTGCGCCGGCGAGTGTGAGCTGCCCGGCGTACCCCACGCTGACTTTCCTTGCGCCGCCGGCAGAGGAGCGGCGCCCGGCGGGAGAGGGGCGGTGCAGCGCCCCTGTGGCGTGCCCAGCGTGTCCCGCGTGCGAGGCCACGACCGAGGCCGAGGCGTGTGACACGTGGACGCCCTTCGTGCAGGGGCTGAGCATCGCAGCGAGCTGCGGCGGCCGGTTCGCCCTCGTACTCGTGAAGTGCGTCGGCTATACAGTGGGGGTGGCTAAGGTACGTGGGGGACGACCTGGTGCACCAACGGTGGGTTTCAGGCCGCGTGGCGCTATCGGTTTTTGAATATGTCGGGACCACGCTGGGTGGGGACACGTGCATTGGGAAGTATGACGAGACGGACAACGACGACATCGATCTGGTGCGGTGGGGTGCGGCCTGGAAAGCGGTGCCGCCTGGGTGGACGCCGCCCGCGTGTACCGCTTCAGACAGGAGCCCACCGCCGACGAGAAGCTGAGGTTCAGGCGCGACGCGGAGCTCCTCGCCCAGCAGCGGTGCCACCAGGTCGCGGCGCAGCTCGGGCGGCCCGGCCTGCTGATGGTGGCGGGCTTCATGGCGCTGGTCGCTGGGGGCCACGGGGCAGCCGCAGCGCCCGCCGCTGCGGCGGCGATCGTGCCGGCGGCGGGGCCTCTCCTGGGCGTGCTGCAGGGCGCTGCGGTGGCGGCCGCGGCGGTGGACAACGGCTCGCGCTGGCGCGCGGCTCCGACGCTCGCAGGGTTCCGCTACGGCGACGAGGTCGCCGGCCACGTGGCCACAGCGGCGGCGGTGCGCGGGCGGGACCTCCACGTGATGGCGGACGGCAGCGCGCTGTTCGTGGAGGAGGGCGCGGCCGCCGACCTCGAGGCGTTCATGGGCCGAGCGGTGGCAGCTGACGCCCGCGTGCTGCCCATCATGCAGACTGGTGCTCGTCGTTCGGTGACTCGGTCGGCGATGGCTGCTCGTGTGCGCGAGGAGGACTTCGGCAAGGATTGCCTCGTGTCGGGCCCTCTACGACGTTCTGGTGCATAGACTGCGTCAACAGCGAGGGCATGGGCGTCGATGGGCATCATGATCGATTTCGTGCCGCCGTCAAGTTGGAGCCGACACAGTGGGGAGTTCAAGAGCACTACCAGTGCTCACAGTACATTCGTTTCCTGCAGCTGTCCGACCAGTGCGACGGCACTAGCTTGCAGGCGTGCGAGTCCATCTTCAGGCGGATGCAGACGATCGAGTATTCGTATCTCGAGAAGGTGCGGGATAGGGAGGGCGCGAACCATAGCGGGCGGCTGTCCATCGAGGAGCAGACGCATTTCTCTCGGCCGTCGCGCCTGCACTTTAGCCTGATGATAGGCCCTGCCTGACCTGCCAGCGAACATTCGGAAGGAAGTCGAGCGAGAAGCAGCCCTGGCCAAGAACTTCCGCAAGGCTCGTGAAGAGAAGGGGGCTCTCATCGAGAGCCCCCTTCTTGAAGTAGAGCGAGAAGGGCGGCGAGGGTTGACGGCGGCGTGGGCCGCCCTCTCCGCGGCTCGTGTTCGCGCCGCGAGCGGGAGGCGCTTCTGCGCGGTGAATTTCGACCGTTCTCGCTCGGACGGGATGAGCCTTCTCGGCGCGTTGCTAGTAATCCTCTTCCCTTGTCTCTGCCGCCAGTCGCAGCTGATCGCGCTGGAGGTGCCGGAGTTTTGTCTCGTGGGTGCCAGCTGCATGTTCGGCGGCGTCATGCTCGAGATCTCGATGTGCGCCGGGCTGTTGCAGCTCTCGACCCTTTACGTCGCTCTCCTGACATTGTCGCGGGCGATGCGGGCCAGCTCAGTTCGGGGCCCCTGTCGCTGATGCAGCGCCGCGTCGTTGGGCGCTCGCGCGAGTCTGTCGGCTCGCCCCGGGATCCGCCGCCAGGCGTCGACGCCCCAGAAGCTCCGCGGACGCGTCGGGCGCCCAGCCTGGTTCTGTCGAGGGCGCGTGGGGAACTATGACCCCGACTTGCTCGCGCTGCCGGCCGCGGTGGGCCGCGCGGCCCCCCTCGCGGCCTTGCGGGGCGAAGGCGGGCGCACGCGCGTCGCGGACTTCGTTCGCGATGGCGTGCCACCCGCGGGGCTGGCGCCGGGGGGGGAAGATGCGCGGCGCGAGGGCGCCCTGCTGTGACCCACCACTGCGCCGACCGCGCGCGTGGAGCGATTTTGTCTATCGGCTGCATCGTGGTGGCTTGGTTGACTTCGCCTGCGACCGCGGGCGGGGGTCCGTGGAGTTCTTCTGCGTACCTAAAAAGGATAAGCGATCGAGACTTGGCATAGCGACGCTTGGTTCCGCGGGCCCGATAACGTTGCCCCGCGCACTGGCGAGGCCCTCGGGGGCCTGGAAGTGGGGGGGTGGCGCGTTGTATATCTTCGATGCCGATCTCTCGAGCGTTTTCGGTCACCTTGAGTTGCCTGCTGGGCTCCGCGGCCCATTTGCTCTTCGTCGCGCGCGTGCGAATGGCGTTGGTCTCGCTGGGCGTGGTGGGCAGCTTGTCCGCGAGGGGGCCTGGGTGTATCCCGGGCTTCGTGTCTGCCCTGCGGGGTGGACTTGGGCCCCCTGGTGGCGCCGGCGCATTGGCGAGAGGCTCGTGGAGAGATGTGGCGGTTTACCTGGGGGCCGTCTAGAGGGCCGACGTGCGATCCCCTTTCTGTCCGGCGCCAGTCACCCCCAGTGCGTCGACAATTTCGCTGCGATCTCCACCGTTGCCGCGACAGTGCATCGCCTCGCTCGCGCCATCGTCGAGGGGTTCAGGGGGGCTGGCCTGATCGCGACCGCTGGCGTCGATGCGCCAGACGGGGGTCCGGCTCGTGATCGCATGGTCTTGGGATGGGGCGCGAGCTGTCGCGCTGCCGTCTTGAGGCCCGCGCGTGCCAGAGTCTGGAGAGCTCGCCAATGCATTCGCGCGGTGCTTCGCCGCGGTCGTGTCTTCGGGAAGGTGCTCGAGAGGCTCGCGGGGCACGTGGGGTTCATCGGCGTGGTCCGTCGTGAGAGCCTCTCCGCGTCCGGCGCGTTGTTCGCGCTCGTCCGCCGCATCTACGACGAGGAGGCCCCGCTGTGGCCTAGCGCGATCTGGGGGCTTTCCATCTAGGGCGGGGTCCCCCCCTGCTCCTGCGGAACCTGGGGGCCTCCTGGGGGCCGACGCTGTATGCCGTAGGCGCGTTACCTACTGGTCTGGGCGGTTTCTCGTCACCCGCGCCCCTGGAAGAGGCGCGAGGTTGGGGGCGGAACTGCGAGCGATGGCGCTTCTCTCAGGGTGCTCGTCTTCCGCCGCGTCCTCAGGCTGCTGCCGCTGCCGCCGCTGCCGCCGTCTCGGACGACCCTGAGGCGCAGCGGCTGTCCGGGCTGCGCGACAACAGAGCTGGGGGCCTCTCGGGCGCCGATGGGGCGCCTCCGCGCGCGGGCAGCATAGCCGACGTCCTGGTATCTGGTCTGGGCGACGCCCGTGCCGGCGCGTTTCGGGAAGTGCTGCTGACGTTGCTGAAACGGGACTGGAAGGTTGCAGGCCGCTACAAGTGGGCCATCGTGGAGCCAATGCTGGTTTTGGAAGGTCGAGCTATCTTGCGTGCGCTGCGGCATGCTCTGCAGAGCGCCCAGAACTTCGGGCGGCGGATTGCCGCCCTGGGGGGCGCGCTGGTTGCGACCTGCGCGGCGTCGAAGGGCCGATCAGATTCGAGGTCCATGCTCAGGGTCGCACAGTCGGTCGCCGCCTTTTGCCTGGCCACGGGATGTGTCTTGCAGTGTCGTTGGTTGCCGTCGGAGTGGAACGTAGCCGACGGCGCCTCGAGAGGTCGGGCCGCCCCCGCTCTCCCTCGGCCGCCGTCGCTCTCGAAGCCCCACGAGCATGAGTGGCTGCGCTCGTGCGAGCACGCGGCTCCCAGCCCTTGCTCCTCCGAGGCGCCCGCGGTCGATGCTGCCGTGGACGGCGGCGTCGACCGGCTGCCGCGGGGCTGCGGCGGCTTCGAGGCAGCGGGCAGCTGGGAGTCAGACTCGCGCGCCGCCGACTGGGGGCCCGTCTTCGCGTCTGGCGTTTCCTTCGCGGGCCGCCCTTGGCCGCGTCTCGGCGACTGCCCCTCGCTGGGCGCCCCCTGGGTCGGCGCGGCCACGCGCCGAGCGGCGCCGAGGAGGCCCGGCCCAAGGGTGGGGGCCCGGCGGCGAGCCGCGGCCGCCGCCTCCGAGGGGCTGACTGCGTGTCAGACGCACTCGGTGCGCCCCGCTGCGTTGCGCCAGCGCCGAGACGACTGCGCCTTGTTCAAGCTCTGGCTGAAGGAGACCGGGCGCGCGATGCCGGGGAGCGAGGCCGACGGCGACGCAGCCCCTGTCTTCTTCCTCGACAGCGTGTATTCGCGGCGCCCACCTGAGCCTCGGGCAGCGGACGTTCGCCTCGGCGTTGTTCTTCCAGTCCGGCCTCGGCAGGGCGGGAGGGGCGCGAATGTCCCGCTGCCATCGCGCGTTGAAGGGCTGGCAGAGGCCGGCGCCAGCAGGGTCGAGGATCAGCATCCCGTGCGAGGTGGTGAGCATGCTTGTGATGTGGATGTGGTTCAAAAGCGCGTGGGAGGAGGGGCTGCTGACCTGGCTGACGTTCGAGATGCACTGCCGGCCGAACGAGCCGCTGACCCTCCGCGCTCGGGACCTTGCGCCGCCCGTGGCAGGGGCGCGCGCGGGGAACCGCTGGTCGCTGACCCTGCGCGCTCGCGAGCATGTCGCGGCGCCCAAGACGACGGAGTTCGACGGGGCCCTCCAGCTGGACCTCGAGCGCCAGGCCGCGCTCGGCCCCGCCCTGGCCGGGCTGCTCGAGGCCCGCTGCGGCCCCCGGTGGCGTCGGGCGGCGCTGAAGCGGCCCGCCGGCGCGGCCTCGGCGCTGCCCCTCCTCGCGATCGGCGTCGCCGAGGCAGGGGCGGCTTTCAACGGGGGGGCGGGGGCTCTGAAGCTGGAGAGCGTGGGCGCGACTTTTCGCCGCCAGCGCCGCCGCGGAGGCGCCGGCCACGACGCGGTGGCCGCCGCCGGGGCGCTGGAGCAGATCCGCCACCGCGGCCGTTGGCGCTCCGCTCGAGCAGCAGCCTGCGCAGGTGCGAGAAGGGTGCGCGGCTCGGGGCGGTGCTCGAGCGTCTGGCGCCCGCGCTGCCTGCCCGCGCACTGCGCTGCGCCGACTCGCTCGGCGACGTGGCGGCCGGGCGTCGCCGGCCCTTCGCGAGCCCCTGAGAGTGCCTGTCTTCGTTCAGATCTTTTTCAGGCACTCGGCGGCTTCGCCAAGCTGCCGCTCAGGAAGGGCTGCAGGTGCCCTGGTGGGACATCGAGTTTGGGCCAGCCTGCGACTTGACGCTCGCCAGTTACCAGAACCTGCTCGCTGGGTCATCATTGGCTTTCGCGTCGCCCTGCCGCGCCAGACGTTCTCCCGCGTCCGTGACAGAGGCAGCAGGCCTCCGCCGCTGAGGAGCGACGGCTTTCCGCGGTGGTTGTCCGGTATGCCGCCCTTTCTTCAGCGCAAGGTGCCGCTGGCCATTAGTATGATCCGATTTGCGTGCCGCCTATTTCGCGATGCCTTTTTCCACGTACCTCTCGACTCTGGCTGTGCAATTCAATCGCTACCTTGACTAAGCGCAAGCATGTCAACATTGTGCGCGGTGATTTTTGCACATGGGCTGGTCCTTGGCGCCGTTGACCTCTCTGGTCTTTCGTTTCTTTCCCCGTTGACCTCTCTGGTCTTGGCGCTTGCAGATGCCGTGGGAGTCGTCGTGCGTGTGCGCGATCAGGCGAGGCCCACCAACGGTTAGTAGGGAAGCGTGAGGATGGTGTGTTCTCTGCCAAAGTTTCCGAGCCGTACCCAGCCCCGCTGTGCAAGTTCATCGCCGGACGATTCTGGGATGTGATCGCTGCGCGGACCGTTCAAAACTTTGATGAGTTTCTGAGTAATTCGTGAGTCTGGCGAAGCCAAGTCGCACTCGTGAGAGTTTGGTGGTGTCTGTGCTTGACGGTGCATGTATGGCGGCGCGTGTGGCCGAAACCACGCGCGAGCAGGTGGGTTCGACGATTCGTTGCGTGCCCGCCCACTCGTACCTGGTCGGTGGCGCCACTGAAGTTTTGCCAGTTCTCCGGCCACGCACGGATGCTTGAGCAACGTTAATTTTTTAGCGCGTTTTGCTGAGCGGGAAGTGGGGCGGGCCGCTTTTACCGTTTGGGCTCTAGGCGCCTTCCCGCCCGCCCATTTTGTGCCTTGAGCGGTGTGTGTGGCCGGCAAAATGAGCTGCCATCGTCACCCGACTATTGTTGCGGCAGTTGTCCCCGGTCACACACGGATGCTTGAGCAATGGTGATATAGATGATGGTAGTGGTGTTTGTAATGAAGATGGCGATGCTGATGATGGTGGTGGTGGTGGGGGTGACGATGAATGTCACTTTGGTTCTGGCGATGGCGATTGCGGTGATAATGATAATGATCACTATGCTGATGCTGACGGTTATGATGACGATGGTGCTGATGCTGATGCTGATGCTGATGATGTGGATGATGATGCTGATGATGCTGATGACGATGGTAATGGTGATGGTGATGATGAGGAGGAGAGGAGGAGAAACCAGTTTATGCAATTGATGCTGATGCTGATGATGCTGATGATGATGATTATGATGCTGATGCTGGTGATGAGGACGATGAAGATGAGGATGGTGATGCTGATGATGAGTATGAGGAGGAACATGAGGATGATGATGAGAATTCGGACGCGGATCAGGATGCGGATGAGGATGATGATCAGCATGATGATGGTGATGCTTGCGATGATGAGGGGCATGCTGACGGTGGTGATGATCACGATGCTGATGATGATGATGATGATGATGATGATGATGATGATGATGATGATGATGGTGATGATGGTGGTGATGATGATGCTGCTGCTGCTGATAATGATGATGATGATGATGATGGTGGTGGTGGTTGTGATGATGATGATGGTGGATGTGTCGATGATTGTGGTGATGGTTGTGGCGAAGACGATTGCCTTGATAATGATGATGATGATGATGATGATGATGATGATGATGATGATGCTGATGCTGATGCTGATGCTGCTGCTGCTGCTGATGATGATGATGATGATGATGATCATGATGATGGTGCTGATGTTGATGAGGAGGCTGCTGATGATGGTGATGGTGATGATGTTGAGGACAGGAGGAAGAATATGCTGCTGCTGGTCATGGTGATAATGATGATTATGTGGATGATGATGATGATGATGATGATGATGATGATGATGATGATGATGATGATGATGATGATGATGATGATGTAGATGGTGATGCTGATGATTCTGATGCTGATGATGAGGGTAATGATGAGGATGATGATGATAATGAGGATGAGGAGGATAAGGGTGAAGCTGATGATGAGGATGGGGATGAGGATGCGGATCACGATGCGGAATAGGATGGTGATGATGATGCTGATGCTGGTGATGGTGATAATGAGGATGATGGGGAGGATTGTGATGATTATGATGATGATGCTGATGGTGATGCTGATGTTGATGATGCTGATGATGATGGTGATGTGAATGATTGTAGTCATTCCAACCCTGCTGCGCCGCGGGCCTCCCCCAGGAGGAGACCCGCCGGAAGGGCATCGCGTTGCTGCTCCTGGCGCTGGCCGTGTGCGCGGTGCCCCAGCAGCTGAAGTTGCAGGCGCTCGAGCTCTGCCTGTGGCTGTTGCCTGGCTTCGCCGTCTCGGCGGTGGGCGTCGCGCTGATGTCGTCCCGCGAGGCGTCGGCGCCCACGGGGGGTGGAGAACCCAGCCTGTTTGCCTTAAGAGGCAGCGAGGCGTGGCTTTTGGAACCCGCTCTCCGACAGTATGTGGTGTTGTTCGTTTGTTGGTTGAGTTTTCAATCCCAAAGGATAATTTTTGTTCTTTCCCCCCCTCTGGTGACCATTTGCATTTTTGAATTGCAGGGCTTCTCCCGGGGTTCGCACCCGGTTTTGTACAAGGGAAAGCGTGGTGTCAGCAAGCTGTGCCTTTGACTCCCGGTGTACCGCAACAGCGGCTCCTCGCTGATACTTCCTCACAATCTGTTTTAAACACGTACGCGCTCTCGCGCGGGTCTTCCTCACAAGGTATGTAGAAATCGCGCTCTCTAGTGGGATTCATTTGCAATTTATTCAGACGCCGCGCCCTCGACACTCAGGAATCACGCTGTCGCTCTGGTTTCTCTCGCGATTCACTCGGGAATCGTGCTATCGCTCGAGACACCCGCGCGGAAGATATATCCCTTAATGGGGTACGATCGAAGGCGAAGTGGGCGGTTACCGAAGGTTTGGGATACACGTGTTGAATGGCACGCGAGTAGGAGCGATCAATCTTAAAATTGTTGTTGATGTTGATGCTGTTGTTGTTGTTGTTGTTGTTGTTGTTGTTATTGTTGTGGTTGATATTGATGTTGTTATTGTTGCTGTCGTCGTGTTTGTTGTAGTTGGTGTTGGTGATGTTGTTGTTGTTGTTGTTGTTGTTGTTGTTGTTGTTGTTGTTGTTGTTGTTGTGAGGGTTGTTGTTACTGCTGCTGTTGCTCTTGTTGTTGTCGCGTTTGCTGTTGTTGCTGCTGCTGTTGTTGATGTGCTTGTCGTTTAATTGTTGCTTCCGAAGAGTACTTATTGTGGATCCCCCCTCAGTAACCATTATTTTTTCAATTATAGTGCTTCTCCAGGGGCTCGCACTTTTTTTTACCTAACAGCGAAGACTGATAGGCTTCTAGTGGTGTCAAAAGAGAGCATCTGATGACTCAGAAGGGAGGTCTGGGCGGCATCCGGACAGCGAGGGCCAGGCTAAGGGCCGGGCTCGTTTCAAGCAAGCAGTCACACACTTCGTGCTCTTCGACCTCCCAGAACTCCATTCCCGGGCCACATTTTGAATGCCCGAAGCCAACTGTAGGCCACTTCGTGCTCTTCGACCTCCCAGAACTCCATTCCCGGGCCACATTTTGGATGCCCGGAGCCAACTGTAGGCCATTTCGTGCTCTTCGACTTCCCCGAACTCCATTCCCGGGCGCCCGGAGCCAACTGTAGGCCACTTCGTGCTCTTCGACTTCCCAGAACTCCACTCCCGGGCTACATTTTTGGATGCCCTGAGCCAACTGTACGCCACTTCGTGCTCTTGGACTTCCCAGAACACCATTCCCGGGCCACATTTTGAATGCCCGGAGCCAACTGTAAGCCACTTCGTGCTTTTCGAGTTCCCAGAACTCCATTCCTGGGTATGATTTTGAATGCCCGGAGCCAACTGCAGGCCACTTCGTGTTCTTCTAGTTCCCAGAATTCCATTCCTGGGCCACGTTTTGAATGCTGAGGCAGGCTGAGGCTCTGCTGAGGCTGAAGGCCTGAGGCTGAGGCTTGATGCTGCAGGCTGAGGCTGAGGCTGAGGCAGGCTGAGGCTGAGGCTGAGGCTGAGGCTGCAGGCTGAGGCTGAGGCAGGCTGAGGCTGAGGCTGAAGGCAGCTGAGGCTGCAGGCTGAGGCTGAGGCTGAGGCTGAGGCTGAGGCTGAGGCTGATGCTGAGGCAGGCTGAGGCTGAGGCTGAGGCTGATGCAGGCTGAGGCTGAGGCAGGCTGAGGCTGAGGCCGAGGCTGAAGGCAGACTGAGGCTGAGGCTGAAGCAGGCCGAGGCTGAGGCTGAGGCAGGCTGAGGCTGAGGCTGAGGCTGGCAGGCTGAGGCTGAGGCTGTGACTGCGACTGCCGTTGCCGCTGCGACTGTCATCGCGAATGCGACTACGACTGCGAGAACAACAGAATTCTACAACTGGATTCTCATCTGAATCTTAAGGGGAATGCTTCCAGATATGCTCCTACACATCGCTGTTAGGTTGCTTTGCCGGGATAATTTTTACATTGGAAAGTGGGCTGTCACCAAACTGTGCCCCTGGCCCCCAGTCTACAACAACAACATCAACAGCAACGGCTCCAGCCTGATACTTCCTAACAGTAAATTCCCAAATCGCACTCTCGCGCGGGGCCTCCTCACAACTTATACAGGAATCGCTTTTTGGCGAGGGACTCCCTCGCAATTCATTCAGACGCCGCGCCCTCGACACCCCGGAATCACGGTCTCGCTGTGGATCTCCTGTCGATTTATTTGGGAATCCCGCTATCATTCGAGACTTCCTTGCGATTCATGCAGGGCGCACGCTTCAGCAACCCGCCTTCCCCTTGCCCCTTCCCTCCATCCTTCCTCTCTTCCCCTGCCTTAGGGGCTGCATGAAATACACGTTGCAAGTAAGAAAGATGTACCCCTAAGCGGGTGCGATCGAAGACGAAGAGGGTGGGTATCGAGGGTCTGATATACACGTGTTGAATGGCCCGCGAGCAGATAAGAGCGAACGGTGTTTAACTGATTGCTGTTGTTGTTGAATTCCCATTTCTAAGAATAATTGTGGCTGATTTCTCCCCTTCTGATAACCATTGCATTTTTCATCCAAAATGCTTCTCCCAGGACTCGCACCCAGTTTTTTTTACGGGGGGAACTTAGGTGTCACCAAACTGCACCTCTGGCCCCCAGTTTGCAATAACAACGGCTCCTACCGGATACTTTCTCATCATTTCTTCCCAAAAAGCGCTCTCGCGCGGGACTTCGTCACAATTTATGCAGGAGTCGCGCTCTAGCGCGGGACTTCTACGCCATTTATTCAGACGCCGCGCCCTCGACATTCAGGAACGCTCCCGTTGTGGATTTCCTAGAGATTTACTTGGGAATCGCGCTAGTGCTCGAGACTTCCGCGCGATTCATGCAGGACGCACGCTTCCGCAACCCGCCTGTTCGACCTGGCCGCCTGGGCCCGCCTTCCCGACCCGCTCATTAGGGTCTACCCGCCCTTTCTGCCCGTCTGGTTTTGCCACGTGTTTTTGCTCCTAGCCCCCCTCCAGCTACTCTCTCTCGTGTTCAATCCTCATACCTCCCACTTGTCACTTCCTTCCATCGCTCCTCTCTTCCCCTGCCTGAGGGGCTGCACGAAGTACACGTTGCAGGTAAGAAAAATATATACCCCCAAGGGGGTACGATCGAAGACGAAGAGGGCGGGTATCGAAGGTTCGGGATATTTGTTGTTGAGTGGCCCGCGAGCAGAATAGCGAACGGTGAAAATCATTTTTGGCAGCCTGGCCCAAGGGAAAGCAGGCCCTCGCCTCTGCGGTGCCCCGAAGCACCTCGGAACACGTTCTCGGGCCCCGGGGCCTCGTCACGGCTCGGCGCCGGCGCCTTCGCGCCAGCAAGGGGCAAAAAGAAAGCGCTGCCTGGCCGGAGCCTCCTGGACCCTGTCCTGAGGTTCCCTGCCAGGACGTGGCGCCGGCGAAAGCCGCGAGGGTGGTATGTGGGTGGGCAAAACCGCCGCCAGGCGGCTGCTGCCCGCCCTGCGGGCGCCGTCCCACGCGGAGAGCGTTCGGTCACCAGAGAGCCTGAGAAGGCGGCCCCTGCCGACAAGCTCTCAGGCACGTGCCTGCGAGGGAGCGGGCAGTGCCACAGCGCGCCAGGCCGTCGCTCGTGCTTTGGCCTGGCTTGGCCCTGCTCCCCGCAGAGACCGAGAGCGTCTCCTGTGGGGCGACCAGAACGGCTGACCCTAGAGACTAGCACCGAGAATACTTCCGCCTCCGAAAACGCAAGCCGGCCCGCCAGGAACCGCTTGCCCGCGAAGCAGGCGCAGAGGCGTGTGAGCGGGAGCAGAGGAGGTGAGGCGAGCACGCTTGGGCCTGCTCCACATGATTTTCCTGTGCCGGAAACGAGTTTACGCTTCATCTTAAAATGATTGTGGTTGAGTTCTCGCTTCAAACGAATAATTGTTTTTCATCCCCCTCCCGGGTAACCATTATTCATTTTTCAATCAAGATGGTTCTCCCGGGCCTCGCACCCTTTTTTTACAAGGGACAGCGAGGTGTCACCAAACTGCGCCCCTGGCCCCCAGTCTTCAACGACACCAAGAACGGCTCCCGCTTGACTTTTCGTCACATCTTGTTCTCAGGTCGCGCTTTCGCGCATGACTTCGTCACAATGTATTCAGACGAGGGTGGGTATCGAGGTTTTGGGATATACTTGTTGATTGGCACGGGAGCAGATAATAGCGAACAGTCTCAAGCTGATCGTTGTTGTTGTTGGTGGTGCTGCTGCTGTTGTTGCTGCTGCTGATGTTGTTCCTGCTGTTGATGTTGTTGTTGTTGTTGTTGTTGTTGTTGATTGAGCTCTCGCTTCAAACGAATAATTATTGTTGACCCCCCCTCCGGTAACCATTGTTCTTTCGATTACAGTGCTTCTCCCAGGGCCCGCACCCTGTATAAGGAAACGTGAGGCGCCACCACACTCGGCTGTTGGGCCCTGAACTTCAAAAACAACGGCTCCCTCCTGATCCTTCCTCGCAATGTATTCCCAAATCGCGTTCTCGCGCGGGACTTCGTCACAATTTCTATAGGAATCTCGCTCTCGCGTGGGATGTCCTGGCAATTCATTCTGGCGCCGCGCACTCGACAACGCTCCCGCTGTGGATTTCCTCGAGATTCATTGGGAATCGCGCTATCTCTCGAGATTTCCTCGCGACTCATGCAGGACGCACGCTTCAGCATCCTGGCTGCCCCTTGCTCCTTCCTTCCATCCGTCCTCTTCTTCCTTCGCCTTAGGGGCTGCACGAAATGCACGTTGCAGGTAAGAAATAGATACACCTAATGGGGGTACGATGAAAGACGAAGGCGGGTATCGAGGGTTTGGGATATGCGTGTTGAACGGCCCGAGAGCAGATAAGAGCGAACAGCCTTAACATGATTGTTGAACTCTCACTTCTGAAGAATAATTATTGTTGATCCCCCTCACCGGTGCATATTGTTTTTTCTCAATCAAAGTATGCCCCTCGACGCTCGCACTTTTTTTTGACAGGGAAAGTCCTCCTGCTCAAACTGGGCCCCTGGCTCCCTGGATTACATCAACAACGGCTCCCGCCTGAGACTTCCTCCAAATTTACTAAGGACCCCCGCTCCTTAGACTTCCTTGCAATTTACTCCGGATCGGTGCTCCCGCTTGTGATTTCCTCGCAAGTTAGTCAGGACCCCCGCTCCCATCTGAGATTTCCTCACAATTTACTCAGGAAAGGCGCTCCCGCTTGAGACTTCCTTGCAATTGAGACAAGACTTCCTCGCAATTTAATCAAGACCCCCGCTCCCGCCAGAGAACCGATCACATTTGATTCAGGAATTGCGCTTTCGCCTGTGACTTCCATGCGCCATGTTCAGAAATCGCGCTTTTGACGCTCAGGAAACACGCCGCGCCAAGGACGCCGTTACAATTTACTTAGTAATCGCGCTCTCGCCATACTCAGGTATCCCACTTGAATGTCCCACCCGCCCGACCCGCCCGTCAGGGGATCGCCCGCCCGTCGTGGGCTCCCGCCCCTGCGCCCGTGAGGCATCACGGCTGCTGGCGTGCCGCTCTCTATCCGCATGGCATCAATCGGAGGTTGGGGGGGCGAGTCCGACGTGATCGGAGACCCCCCCTACTGGGAAATCGATTTCGGTTTCGGGGTTCGTGTCGTGCGCGCCGTGCGTGCGTGGTGGCGAGGCGAAGCTACGTGGGCGGGCCAGAGGACATCCTCCTGTGGCTGGGCCTCGGCCGGACCAAATGTAACTCCTCCGGCGGCCGGTGCCGCGCGGTGTCCCGCCGGTGTCCCGTGGTGTCCCGTGGTGTCCCGTTGAGTGAGATCGATAGTGAGATCGATACTGAGATCGATTTGGTGCCCGAGGTGTCCCGTGGTGTCCCGTGGTGTCCCAAAAAGTGAGATCGATAATAAGATCGATACTGAGATCGACAGGTGTTCCGTGGTGTCCCGTGGTGTCCAGTGGTGTCCCGTTGAGTGAGATCGATCGTGAGATCGATAGTGAGATCGATGTGGTGTCCCGATGTCCCGTGGTGTCCAGTGGTGTCCTATGGTGTCCGGTTGAGTGAGATTGATAGTGAGATCGATAGTGAGACCGATAGTGAGATCGAGAGGTGCTCCGCGGTGTCCCATGGTGTCCCGCGGTGACCCGTGGTGTCCCGTGATGTCCCGTTGAGAGTGAGATCGATCGTGAGATCGATACTGAGATCGACAAGTGTCACGTGGTGTCCCGTGGTGTCCCGTGGTGTTCCGTTGGGTGAGATTGATAGTGAGATCGATTGAGTCAGATGTTGGTTCCCCACTCTCCCCCCCCCACAACCTCCTTATCACCCGAAGGGTGGTCGTATATATACATATAACGGCGCACCGGGTCCGGGGGCCCGGGGCCGGGACCTCGACCACAAATGTGGGCTCCGGGGGGCCCGGAGGCTCGTCGGGGCTTGCCGGAGGCCTCCCCGGTCAGACAAGACGGCCCCAGGAGCGCCCAAAACGGCCCAAGAAACTTCCAGGAGGCCTCCAAGAGGGCTCCGAGATGCTGAATATGGCCTCCAGACGTCCAAGGACGCCCCCAAGAGGCCCCAAGAAGCCTCCAACATGCGTCCCAAGAGGGCCCCTAGACGCAAAAATTGGCCCATTCCCTTCGTAAAACGTACATTTTCAACAAAGTTGTCTTTTGGGCTTTCCGACGTTACAGGACGGCCCAAGAGGCGCCCAAGACCGCCCCAAGACGGCCCAAGAAGCTTCCAAGAGGGCCCCAGGACAGCCCAAGAGGGCCCCAAGACGGCCCAAGAGGCGCCCAAGATGGCCCAAGAGGGCCCCAAGACGGGCCCAAGAGGGGGCCCAGAGGGGGACCACGAACCGCAAGCTCGAGCCTTCCGCCCCAAGAGGCCGCCAGGAGGCCCCCAGGAGGCCCCTCAAGAGGCCCCAGGAGACCCCAGACGTCCAAGGACGCCCCCAAGACGCCCCAAGAAGCCTCCAACATGCGTCCCAAGAGGGCCCCTAGACGCAAAAATTGGCCCATTCCCTTCGTAAAACGTACATTTTCAACAAAGTCGCCTTTTGGGCTTTCCGACGTTACAGGACGGCCCAAGAGGCGCCCAAGACCGCCCCAAGACGGCCCAAGAAGCTTCCAAGAGGGCCCCAGGACAGCCCAAGAGGGCCCCAAGACGGCCCAAGAGGCGCCCAAGATGGCCCAAGAGGGCCCCAAGACGGGCCCAAGAGGGGGCCCAGAGGGGGACCACGAACCGCAAGCTCGAGCCTTCCGCCCCAAGAGGCCGCCAGGAGGCCCCCAGGAGGCCCCTCAAGAGGCCCCAGGAGACCCCAGACGTCCAAGGACGCCCCCAAGACGCCCCAAGAAGCCTCCAACATGCGTCCCAAGAGGGCCCCTAGACGCATTCCATTCCCTTCGTAAAACGTACATTTGCAACAAAGTTGTTTTTTGGGCTTTCCGACGTTACAGGACGGCCCAAGAGGCGCCCAAGACCGCCCCAAGACGGCCCAAGAAGCTTCCAAGAGGGCCCCAGGACAGCCCAAGAGGGCCCCAAGACGGCCCAAGAGGCGCCCAAGATGGCCCAAGAGGGCCCCAAGACGGGCCCAAGAGGGGGCCCAGAGGGGGACCACGAACCGCAAGCTCGAGCCTTCCGCCCCAAGAGGCCGCCAGGAGGCCCCCAGGAGGCCCCTCAAGAGGCCCCAGGAGACCCCAGACGTCCAAGGACGCCCCCAAGAGGCCCCAAGAAGCCTCCAACATGCGTCCCAAGAGGGCCCCTAGACGCAACCATTGGCCCATTCCATGCGTAAAACGTACATTTTCAACAAAGTCGCCTTTTGGGCTTTCCGACGTTACAGGACGGCCCAAGAGGCGCCCAAGACCGCCCCAAGACGGCCCAAGAAGCTTCCAAGAGGGCCCCAGGACAGCCCAAGAGGGCCCCAAGACGGCCCAAGAGGCGCCCAAGATGGCCCAAGAGGGCCCCAAGACGGGCCCAAGAGGGGGCCCAGAGGGGGACCACGAACCGCAAGCTCGAGCCTTCCGCCCCAAGAGGCCGCCAGGAGGCCCCCAGGAGGCCCCTCAAGAGGCCCCAGGAGACCCCAGACGTCCAAGGACGCCCCCACGACGCTTCGCGTCACCAATTTCTTCTCACAACGATTCCTGGGCCTGTGACTCGACAGAACCTAAGCGCGCGCGAAGCGCGCGCGTGGTTCTAGTAGGTGTGTGTATATATATATATATATATATATATATATATATATTCTTTTGTTTCAGAGGGAAGCGATGTGGTGGCCTGTGCTTTTTCTTTTCTGCTTCGTCTTCTTCTTCGTTTCTCTTCTTTTCATAATGTTATCATGCTTCTTCTTAGTATTGTTATGATTCGGCTTCTTATTCATATTGTTATTCGTATTGCTACCATTGTGTGTGCTCCTCTTATTATTGTGTCCATTATTACATCTATTGATATTGATTTATGTAGTAGTACGATTTGTGTCATTGGTATTGCTATCGTTATAAGTCGTATCACTACTACGAGTATCTTTACTATTCGTATTCTTACTCATGCTGTTTTTTCGTATGTTTATTATCAGCCGTATGATTGTTTTTGACCGTTTTCCAATATGGATAATACTACTGTTATTCGTATTTCCTTATTCATATTAGTATTCATATACTTATTGTGATTATGTTTTGTATCATTCGTATTCGTATTACTCTTATGCTTATGGTTCGGATTCCGATCCTGAGTTGCATTATTATTATTGCTATTATTATGATTATTATTGTTATTATTATTATTATCATTATCATTATCATTATTATTATTGGTATTATTATTATTTTTTTTATTATTATTATTAGTATTGCTATTATTAGTATTCGTATTGTTATTGTTCTTCCTCGTCCTCCGGCTCCTCCTCATTCATCCTCGGTCCCCCGTCCTATTTCCCGCGGCTCTCCTCTCCGAGCTGCCGCTCCCCTCCCTCCTCCCTCGGGTACCCCCACGGGGCTGACTGGAACAGCACAGTCCGACGCACAGTCTCTCCCTCCCCCCCTCCCTCTGCCCTGCGTCCTCCCGCCTCTCCCTCCCCTCCCTCCCCCTCCCCTCTCTCCTCTCCCTCGCGCCCCCTCCCTCCGCCTTCCGTCCTCCCTCCCCCCTTCCCCCGTCACTATCTGACCGCTGTCTGTGGCGAATCAGGTCGCAATTCAAAATTCCCTCCTCCTCCCCCTCTTTCCCTCCCCCTCCTCCTGCTCCTCCCCCTTCTTCCCCTCCCCCCTTTTTCCCCTCCCCCCTTCTTCCCCTCCCCCTCCCCCCCCCTCATGCTCCCGGAGGAGGACGAGGGGGGCCTGTGGCCCTGCGCCGGGCGGGGCGAGGGGCGCCGCTCTCCCGCTTGCGCCGGTGGGCGGCCGGCGCCAGGAGCAGCCCAAGTGGCTCTGGTGCGCCCTGCTGCTCCTGATGGCGTCCTACGGCGCGCGGCGCATCCTCGGCGTGTCGCCTGCGCGCACGGAGGCCTCCGCCGCCTCGTCGTCGTGGTCGTCGTCGTCGTCGTCGTCGCGGTCGTCGTGGTCGTCGTCGTCGTCGTCGTGGTCGTGGTCGTCGTCGTCGTCTTTGTCGTGGCGGTCATCGTGGTCGTGGTCGGGCCAGCGTGGCGGCCGCGCTCTTCGGAGGCCTTGGCCGCGCCCCAGCTCCGCCGCCGCCAAAATGGGTGAGTGGGTGCGTCGTCGTGGAACGAGGGCTTGGGGCATAACCCGTGCTCCATGACGTGACTGAAATCGGAAACTGAAACATATACATTACCAGTGGCGGGCTGTTTTTCAATCCCATGACTTTTTGAGGGTCGGGGACGACGCTGGGGTGGTGTGGTGTATGTTTTTTTCCCCGGTGTCCCGTGGAAACAACGAAAAATGTATACACCAGGGTCCCGTATACACCAGGATCCGCTCTCCAGTGCAAATTTCAAAACAGGGCCGGAAAAAACGTCTGTGTGTAGAGTTCGATTTCCGATGAACGTCCCATCGCATTGAAGGAGATAACCAGAGCAACGGAAGCAAGGACACAGTTGTCGGAGACCACCAGGCCTGCACCTCCGGGCTGTCCAGCAGAGGAGGGAGGAGCCGCGGAAGGAGGGAGAGGGGGAGGTGGATGATCGTGTCGGATCGGCTATCCACGAAAGAACCTGTTGCGAGGTATAGTCCGGGAGAATGCGTCGATCTCTCTCTCTCTCTCTCTCTCCCCATATATATACATATATGCGTACATCAGTACTGTATACATGCATCGAAGACGCCTAAGGCGAATCTAAGCCCATGTGGCCAAACTTTTGGGCAAAATTTGGCCACGCTGTTGGACCATTCGTTTCCCCAGCCGTTGTGGAAGCCCTTCAGGGAACACGTGGGGTGGGTACAATAATCTGTGCTTCGCACTCTGGCCACTGATGGATGGCAGTGCTCAAAGGGCGTGACTGATGGCTATCCCGAGCGGTCGGCTGGGGTCTCTGTGAGCACCGATTGCGGCTAGCTCTCCGCTGCCCTACCTACCAGGGCAGCCGCTCGGGATTCGTGGCTGCAGAGCGTGAGTGGACCACATGAGGCAAACAAAACACATACATAACATACCATGCACTGACACATCGCTCTGCAACCACGTGAATGCATCCTCTGCTTCAGAATGCTGTGGAGCGGGGGTTGTTTACATGTGCACGGGTTTGGGGGCAAGGGGGCCAGGAGAAACGATATCGCATATAACCCAGCTTCCTGTCGCCCCTGGCTCCCGAAACCCCGCCTTGCCATGCATCTCCAGAGCAACCGGCCGATCCGTCAACGGGCAATCCGCGCCAGAGGGGCGCGCGCCGGCAGCCTACGCAGCGCACCGCCCCCCAGAGAGACTCTCGGAGGCACTCCCCCTGCCCCCCCCTCCCTCGGCCCAGCCTCGGCTGGCCAGGGGGATGCTCGGAGGCCCCCAGGCGGTGTGGTGACCACACCTTCTGGTGAGTAGGTGGAGATTCGAGGTCACCGCACGGCCTTGGGACTCGAGTCCCTCTCCGAGGACGTCTTGGGCGACAGGGGCATCCAGGGTCTCAAGACCGTGCGGTGACGGACCGTCTGGTGAGGTCTCTTGGGGTTCCTGGGTCACCGCACGGTCTGTCACCACGCGGTTTTGGGATCCCCAAGATACGAATCTGGCCCAGAACGTACCATTAAACATTCGGTGGGGGGGCCACGCCCTGGCGCGGGTGGGGAGGGACGAAGGGGGGAGGAGCCGAGTGAGAAAGCCAGGCAATAGCGGGGAGGAGGAAGGCCCGACTACGAAGCGGGATCGAAAGTGAAGCGCCGCGGCTCGATCCCGACTGCGGAACGGCTCTTGGGGCGGGGTTCATCAGCCAATCCGCGCCGGGGTGATGCCAGACGCCGCGCAGCCTGCCCGGAACCAGCGTGGCGGCATGTAGGGCTTCGGCAGGCTGCGGATCGGGGAACTGCTGGGGTCGCCGGCCGTGGCGGTACTCCACAAGAATACGTCGACGCCTGACGAAGCAGTGAAGATGCCAGAAATACGTTCGATCCACTGGGGTACGAAAATCGCGTCCCAAATAAGGACCTTCAGAGCATTGCAGTAGCGGATGCCGCGCTGGATAGGCGACGGCATCCACGCGGGAAGGCCCAAGTTTGCAGTCTCTGCCGGGGCGGCTCCAACCGCAAATCCTACACAGGGAGAGAGGACGCAACACGTGAGGACCTTCAAAAACAAATACTCTGGATATCCGGCATGCCGACGGCGTCCGCGCTAGGCGATGGCGTCCCTCAGTCGACTTCTCCCTGCAGCATCGCCACAACAGCCTTGACAGTCTTCACCCTGTTCCTGGGCGGGTCCTCCCTGCCCTCGCCGCGCATCGACAAAAGCAGCTTCTTCACATCTGGGAGCGGGTGCCCACTGAACTCTTCGTGGGTGGTAGTAGTAGTAGTAGTAGTAGTAGTAGTAGTAGTAGTAGTAGTAGTAGTAGTAGTAGTAGTAGTAGTAGTAGTAGTAGTAGTAGTAGTAGTAGTAGTAGTAGTAGTAGTAGTAGTAGTAGTAGTAGTAGTAGTAGTAGTAGTCGTAGTAGTAGTAGTAGTAGTAGTAGTAGTAGTAGTAGTAGTAGTAGTAGTAGTAGTAGTCGTAGTAGTAGTAGTAGTAGTAGTAGTAGTAGTAGTAGTAGTAGTAGTAGTAGTAGTAGTAGTAGTAGTAGTAGTAGTCGTAGTAGTAGTAGTAGCCTGTAGTAGTAGTAGTAGTAGTAGTAGTAGTCGTAGAGTAGTAGTAAGTAGTAGTAGTAGTAGTAGTAGTAGTATAGTAGTAGTAGTAGTTAGAGTAGTATAGTAGTAGTAGTAGGATTAGTTAGTAGTTAGTAGTAGTAGTAAGTTAGTAGTGGTAGTAGTCGTAGTAGTAGTAGTAGTAGTAGTAGTAGTAGTCGTAGTAGTAGTGGTAGTGGTAGTGGTAGAAGTGGTAATCGTAGCAGTAGTAGTAGTAGTAGTAGTAGTAGTCGTCGTCGTAGTAGTGGTAGTAGTAGTAGTAGATTTTGTAGTCGTAGTAGTAGTAGTAGTAGTAGAAGAAGTAGTAGTAATAGTTGTAGTCGTAGTCGTCGTAGTAGTAGTAGTAGTAGTAGTAGTAGTCGTCGTCGTAGTAGTAGTAGTAGTAGTAGTAGTAGTAGGCGTCGTAGTACGAGTGGTAGAAGTAGTCGTAGTCGTAATCGTAGTAGTAGCAGTAGTAGTAGTAGTAGTAGTAGTAGTAGTAGTAGTAGTAGTCGCAATCGTAGTGGTAGTAGTAGTAGTA